TTTTTAAATAATTGAAAAAAGTGAACGATTTTTAAAAACATATATTTATATTTTATGCTGTAATGTATAGAATATGCAAATATATTAAATTTAATTAGTAATAGTTTTGATATTAATTCACAGGCATTGCTTTATTAAAGTTTCAATTTTAATTTTTAAAATTAAACAAACTTTTCGTGGTTATATAAATCAATATAAAATTGTAAATCAATATATAATTCAATATACATATATCCAAATTTTTACAAAATTTTTATCTCAGTTTATTAATATATAAAGCGAACTATGCAAATTACACAATGTACACGAGCGAATTTGTGTACATTTTTACATTTTCACGAATTTTATAAACTTCATGTTGTTTTAGTCGTAAAATTCGCTGTTGAAAAATTTTGACGTTTAAACTTTGTATGAGGCAATATGTTTTCCCGAAAGCGGAACTTTCAAAGTAAATAACACGCGATACTTTCTTGGAACGATATTCTGCTACAAGAATGTTATTTTCAATACATATATGCACGTACATACATGTCTGTTTTAAATAATATTATTTTAAAAATACTGTTCTTTGGGCTTTTGTAAGGATAACTATGCTTTGCATAAAACATACTCAAATCTGCTTCCACTTCATCTCTGATTTCTTTATTCTTTTCCTTTATTTTTGATACTTCTGCTTCTTGTTGCATAACCACCACTTTGGTTTTTTCTGCTTCAATCTGCAAGAAGCATATTGTATGTTAATTGCATAAAGTATATTTTGTGAAAAACAAGATATGAGTATCAAATACTTTACAATAATAAAAATCCTTGATACACAATCGTCAATCATTAAATAATATTAACAGAATAGAGGAGTTATATATAGAAGTAATAATTAATTAAATAGTGTTTCCCACAAATATATCTAAAATTATTAATTTACCACAGAAATTTCAGATCCACATTTTGGATAATAAGAAATGAAAACTTCTAATTCAGATTGATATACAGAGAAATGATATAATATACAGGATATCCATCTTATCTATACATATAAAAGAACTCCCCCTTGAAGGATTATCTCTTTTATATTTGTAGAATAAAATCAAATAAAAATGAGTTCATACAAAATTATATGGCCTGACGAGATACAAAATAGTAAATTATAGTAACATTAATTTTCGAAAAAAAAGATCGATTTTTTGTAATCAAAGGTTATGAAAGTCATAGCCATTTCTTTCAATTTCTCATTAGAATGAAATCGATATAAAATAAAGTAATTGTAATGTGTGCATAATATATAATATATAAATAATGTAAATATGTATCACGAACTAAAAGGAATATGAAAATAAATTTGTGAAAGATTTGTGTTATATATATTACTTCGCTTTTTCAAGTTTTCAAGGAATACACACGATCTCGTAGTACCTTTATTTATTATCATCTTTTTCATATATAATACTAATTTATTACAAGTTATAAAAATGTGAAAGATTGTGATAATTATGCTTTATATAAGGACACAAATTTTTTACCTAAAATAATTTATCTTTTGTTATACATTTTTTTATTGTTAAATATTACTACTTGAACAAAATATTACTACTTGATATGATGACTTTAAAATTACTGTATTTTTCTTTTTTTTTACTTTCTTTTATGAAATAGATTAGATTTTTATATAACTCATATGTATAAATTTTAATAAAGAAATTATTCTGTATGTTTTATTTTAAAAAATAATTGTTTATGTAACGATATTTTTTTTCAAGGCTAAAAGAGAGTCAGAATATTTTTATTTAATTATTCTCATTTCTAAATTGCGTATCTCATACTTTGTATTAGACATGTATTATCTTGGGATATGAATCTTACAAAAGACCTCTTATTCTTTTAATTTTATTAAAACGTTACAAAATTTTATTTAAAACTCTTTTGAGTTAATTAAATTATAATAAAATTCTGAAGAAATAATCCTCATAAAGACTTTGAATAATAATAATTTTAATATAATCTTATTACAAAACAATAATGTTCCTTATCATAAATCTCCTATAAAATTTTTTGTGAAGAGATTTATAAGATACTCAAGAAAATTATAAATAACATTACATTGAAAAAATCCCTTTTACAATTCAAGATTTTAGGATAAAGCATACTAAAATAAATAACTTCTGTTACGAAATTCTTTACTAATTTCTAAGTTATATCTTTTGTAGAGAAGACATGAAATGAAGAAGTTTTTGTATGATTCAGAACTTTGACAAACTTTGAAATGCTTACTGTGTCTTGTGTAATCTCATGTATAATTCTTGCTGTAGCCTCTGCCGTTTTCTCTAACTCGAGCTTCATTTGTTTCAGCATCTCTTGTATGTCTTTCACTTCTGTTTCTATGTTCGCAAATTTATTTAGTCCTGTTCGAGAAAGATACGCATTACAAAGACCAAACTGTATGCTGATTTATGTAAATCAGATGAAGTAATTAATTTGCATTATTGTAAACGAATTGGAAGCAGTAAATTTTCATCATAGGCTCGTACAGTTTAAATAGATGCATTCTCATTTCGTCGGGCTGTTAATCAATACAAAGTCTTCAAAAGGACGCAATTTTCTCTGTTTTTAGCAACTTAATATGCTTATATATATTTTTATAATAACATTGTAAATGAAATTTAATTAATTAAATATATGATATATAAAAGATAATTTTATTTATCTTTCACAATAAATAGAAATATTA